AGGAAGGCTGACGTTTCGGGCCTAGACCCTTCTTCAGATCTAGGCCCGAAACGTCAGCCTTCCTGCTCCTCTGCTGCTTGGCCTGCTGTGTTCATCCAGCTCTACACCTTGTTATCTCAGTTTTAAATATTAATTTAGTTTGAATATTTCCAATTTTGCTTTTCAGACACAGTAATGTGTACTGCAGATATGTGTCTTCAAGTAGTGTCTCTATCCTTGAGAATCCATCACCAGAGGGTGTAAGGTTGGTATTTTGATTCTCATTTTGCTTTACTTGTCTGAAAACTGAAACTAAAATGGAGGAATCTGTACATTCATAGTTGTATTCCACTTCACGTTCCTTTAGACTTCCTAAGGGAATGATCATACTACACTGTTCCTACTGGGGTTAATATTGCAAACCTTGGGGTAGTTGCTTTTTAAGTTTACAAGATTTAGTAACGCTTTGAGAAAACGTTACTTTATCACACTTTGTTCTCTTTGTCTTGGTGTAATGTAATGGCTAACACATTCTTTTTGAACTGATAGAAATTTAACCTGGGTTTCTCTAAATTTGTCGACTTGTAAATCCAGCACTCGGATTGGTAGTGACTCAAGTGTCTTAAGCTCTTCTAGTTTCTCCTCAAATAACCACAGGTCTACGTTAATGTCTACCAGCCCAGCATACAGAAGCAAAATACCTTCACAATTGAATGGACTATACAAGTCATTTGAAAGTCCTGCTGTGCACCATACAAAGCACAAGTTGAAAGTGGTGCAACGAATTATCATTGCTATGTCCAGAGGGACAAAGGGAGACACCATTGTGATGTCTGTTTGACAAATGTTAAGATGTCTAGCTGTGACTACTAGTAAATGGGAACTTAGTTCAAGAGACTTTGCGTTTTGACATTGCAGGTGGTTGTGAAAAAGAGAAGCAGAAAACAAATTAGGGAAGAAAGGAAGATTGAGAGGAGGAAAATTTATCTTGTGTTTTCCTGGAAATACAAAGTCCGGTTTAAAAATGTAATTAGCATAACTGATATGAAATACAAAGATTTACAAACCTATGCCTTAACAATACAAAATTTGTGCAGAGCTTCCTGAGTGAACAGTAGGAACTTCACACTTCTAGTGAGTTTCCGTTATGCTGTTCAATGAAAATTCAACCGTGATATTTTTGATGCAGTTAAGCCTTAGTAACCAGGAGTGGAGAATGGGGGTTGAAATGGAGGCAAGTAGAATTCTCTGTGCCTTCTGTTTACAAAAATGGATTGTATTTGAATCCTGTTTCGATTTTTGTATAAAATTGAAGCGATTAAGTGAAGCTTTTGTGAACGTAATTAGAGGTTGTTGCTGTACAGCAATGCAAATCTGGATTACAACAATGAAGCTGTGGCAGTCAATTTACTAAAAAAAGTTAATGAGCTATTGACATGCTGTTAGTTTATGTTTTTAAAAAAAACAGATGGTATTGTGGTTTCTGACATGGTTGACATTCCGTGGCTGCTTTGCACGCCCTTAAGTTGCCTTCTTAAATATACTATTTTATCACAACCTTGTAATTGTAACTCGTGCCTAAAAATCGTACATGAACAGCTCAATCAATGTAAACCCACAGAGATTGTCAATTTCATCTTTGCCATGTGGATATGTATGATAGAGTGGAGGCCATCTGTCCTGTTGAAAGACAGCTTGGCGAGAGTGATGCCTTGCCACTGTTGGGTAACCTGGGAATCAGGAAATGAATAAATCTGAGAATGTCATTTGCTCAGCCGTTTGGCCTTAAATTAAACTAAACATATTGGCAGTTTAATGGACAGTGTGAAGCTCTGCTATTTTTTTAAAAAACAAGAATGTCCCTTCAGTGCCTAAACTATTTAAATACAGAATTAAAATTTGCCACTGCAAATCAATATGAAAACAAACAGTAATATCAGCTGTTATGGACCAGATCAAACCTCAAAATATATTAAGAAGATGGCCTTCACCGTAATGTTTTCTTACTTTAAAGATAAGTGTAAGGCATTGTGTTCCAGATGCAATTTGATTAGTCAAACTGATAGACTTTAAGCAAAACACACTATTTTTGCACTACAGCTAAAATACAGACAAAATAAAAATAAGAATTGGTTTAACTATAACTATCAATGCTTAAAATGATGTACGTCTACTAATTTACTAGTCCAATATAGTAATGTATCATCTCATAGTAAAATACATCCTTGGTAAAGGCAAATTCAGTGAAATAGATTGTTTTTTCTTGCATTCTAGCAGCATGAAAAGAACCCCAGCTTTTAGCAGTAACAGAGAGAGGAATAAGAACTACTGCAGAAAGCTAAAAGTAAAAACCTTGTTTTCTGTGGGAGCTTGACCCCACCGATTGACGTTGCTTCTATTGTTTCAACGTTAAAACAAAAGCCCAAGGCATCACAAGTGTTGACTTTATTGACTTGAGCACACCGCTTGACATACCTGTGTGAATCTTTCTTCCTAAAACACAAACTAGGACAAAATACATCTGTCAAAGCCACAGTCTCATCACACAGTGGCCCCCCCCCCCCTTCAAACAAAAATGAACCATCGATTACAATGCGGGCTTCATTTTCTTTTAAAAACCTTTAGCTTTACACTATTAGTACACTACAATACAAGCATGCAGACATTCACTACTACAATCCACTTCAGTCCGTTTTCTCCCACCCCCAAACACCTCCATCTGCCTTCGTGAAGGTCACGATATTGCGTCGGCAATTACATTCTCTAGCCCTGCAATGTGTATAATTTTCAAACTGAATGGCTGCAATAATTAGCTCTATCTAAACAGTCTGGAATTTTTATCCTTAAATTTTTTTCATAAACTTTTAAGGGGTTACGATCAGTATATGCAGTTATCTCAGAGACATTAATGTTAATATAAGTGTTGAAATGTCGCAACGTCAACACCACACTCGAGGTCTCCTTCTCAATTGTGAAATATTTTTGATTATTCAATTTTCCAGAAAAACCTATTAGATATTTTTGCATCTTGTCTTATTGCAAGAGTACAGCGCCGACACCACATCACTTGCATGAATACCCATCTTGAATGGCTTTACGTAACTAGGTGTGGTTAACACTGCTTTCAGGCTGTCAAATGCCTTCTGAAATTCTCCCGTTCACTGAAATTTTCTACACCACTTCAGTCTGTGGAGCAAACGCACTGCTAAAATTCAGTACAGACTTCAGACTAAAACCATTCAGTCCCAGGAATCGTTGTGCTTTCCTCTTCATTGATGGTATGGGAAACTCCCCAATAACTTTTGTTTTCACGTCCTGTGGAGCCATTTGTCCATGTTCGATAGCATGGCCCAGGAACATGACTTGGACTTTTGCAAACTAACTCTTAGCTAGGTTTATTACCAGCCTGCCTACCAAAGTTGAACAATTCTGATAGATGCTCCAAATGCTCTTTCCATGAGTGACCGTCAAATCGTCAATGTACACCACACAATTGGGTAATTCTGAAATCGCTGTATTGATTAGTCTTTGAAATGTGGCGGCCCTTATTTTTACACTACAGTTAAAATGCAGACAAAAGAAATTGGCTTAACTGTAACTCTATCTACTAATTAACTTCCAATATAGTAATGTCCCATTAACCTTGGCAAAGGCAAATTCAGTAAAATAGATTTCCTGCTGCTAGAATTGCATGTGAGACTTTTAGCTGTAACAGAGAGAGGAATTGGAGCTTCCACATTCAGTTTCAAGACCCCAGCAAGTGCAGAAAACTATAAAAGTAAAAATCCTGGTTCTCTGGGAGCTTGGCCCCATCCATTGAGGCTGCTTCCATTGTCCCAACATTTTCAAAAAAAAACCCCGACGGCGCCTCAAGCTGTCCACTGTATTGGCTTTGAGCAGACCTGGCCAGCACCTCTGCCTCAACCTTTCTTCATTTCTTAAAAAAAAAAGGACACAATATGCCTCTTAAAGTCATAGCATTATCACACAGCACCTGTAAAGATACAAATACAGATTTTTGCAATGTGGAGGTGTTTTGTTTCATCTTCAGTTCTTGAGGGTTACACATGACATTTCCCTTTTGCTTTTTATAATTTTTGACATTTTCAAGTTAAGATATTCAACATCTGTTCTTTTTATTTGAAACAGTAATTTGGCAATCTCCTTTAATCAGATTTTATTTTCATTGATGGGATGTGGGCATTGTTGCTGGACCAGCATTTATTACCCATCTCAGTGGCCTTTGAGAAGGAGGTGGTCAGCTACCTTCTTGAACTGCTGCAATCCATTTCCATTCTTCATCAATTTCATAGTTTAAGAAGTGACAGTTCGACCTTTGTTTTTCAGGTCAGCCAGTGCAGATTTGCCCCTAATGTACCTTGGAAACTTAATCTCTTCGCGAGGCACTCGCCTACAGGGGATTGTTTGTTGCCATGTGGTTAATGCTTGTTGGCTGAAACTGCAATGGGTGTGCAGTCTTTGCTGCAGCATTATTAAGCAGGTATGGTTTGATTTTAAAATAAGAAATGGTAGGAATCTCAGTTAGACATATTTGGGTCCATGTTGCTACGTGGAACAGAATATGCTATGGGGGAGAAAATAGAACTGTCAGCATCTTTTAAAAAAAAAAAAAAAAAAATGTATAAATCAACTCCTTTATAAAAAGGATTTCCAGCCAAAATGCTAACTTGCTTTGTTAGGCAGATTCTATTCTCTTTCTGTAAAGAATGTTCTGTAACCAGATTGTGTTGAGCTACTATGTGATTCTGCATAGAGTTCAGTTACAAAATGTCTGGGTCATCTGTTTGGAGATAACTGACAAAGTGAAAATTTCACTTGGAATTTATTTACTAGAATGCCCTGGAAGTTATCCCATCAGTATGGGAAACTGTGCAATCCTACATGTAGACAAATACAATAATACAAAACATAGATCCAAGCTCTTACATCATAAAGAAAATAATTAGGAAATAGTTTGGGGCATCAAAATATGAAGTGAACGTAAAAGCTGTTGTTTTGATGGATATGGACATTTTTATATCAAATTCTTTCCTGTGCTCCACTGTAAACCATCAAAATATGCAGATGCAACAAATTTGAAAGTAAAAAGATCATTTGAATTATTTCTTTCAAAAGTGAAGTCTTGTACATAATATTTCCAAACAATAACTGTAGTAACTTGTTATTTGATTTCTGTGCTTAGGGCAAGTGCACAAGAGGTTCAGGGCCATGTCTGTCTGCAGTTGGTATATTTCGTGCTAATGCAAGGTAAGCATCAAGGATTGGGAATTGGTCATTTCAAGAATCATTTGGCACTTTGTTGCAAAGCCGTTGTCAAAACAAGCAAGCGAAGAACAGTTGTTTTTTTTCAAAAGCTGAATGTGTTCTGTATGGGCACACTTATCTGTTCTTATTTTCTATAGGTTCTAGTACACTTTTCATACTGAAAAATAATCAAAGGCAGAGGATTAATTAAAAATGTTTTCAATGTTACTTCATCCCAGTGATCTCCCCTTTCTATAATGAGTTTTAATGCACTTGCTTGAACATGCAGGTACCTGTTTCAAAGTGACTGCTAAGATGTACTAGCAGATGGACTGGGCAGGGATAAAATGAAATGAGGACAGATCTGTTCTTGTTTTATTTAATTCAAGGTTTAGCTTGTAATTATGTTCTACTTCTGGCCTTGGAGCATCTTAACTTCACCACTAGAGTACTCATTAACCTTCACTCTTATGGGATCTACTTCCTGCACTCTTGTCTTTTTTGACCTGGCTCCTTACCACTGAGCTACTCGTAATCTGATGTAGTCAGTTGTGCTTTCTTTTCCCTAGCTATTGTTCTTTCTTTCCATTTATTTTAAAATTGGTGTGGTCACTCAACTGTCTTCGAAACCCATTGTTGACTTTGTCCTCCAACCTCCTCTTCCTTTCTTTGATTTTGGACTATATGAACAATCGTGTATCAACCTCTCTGTCTACTGTTTATTTCCTCCTTGTTGAATTTATGCAGCGCACACAGCTGAGTCTGCATTGATCAACCGTCAAGAACGATGTCTGTTTGACAGACCATATGCATGATTCCATTTTTGAACGACCTTTAGTCAAATGCTGATCTCCTGTGATTTCATTTGTCCCTGTCCCAGTGTCGCTGTGGCACTCACTCAATGTTCTATATCCACACAGCCAATTCTTGTTTAACTCAACTTCAATCTTTGTGTGTGTCTGTGTGTATGATATATATGTATGTTCAGGTTTTGTGTATGCTGATAAAACACTGCTCCACTAACTAATTTTCAATTTGCGACTGAAATATTCAGTTGACTGTATGACACAGTTGTAGATGAGCTAGTTCTTTTATACACTCATCGGTAAGATTGAAGCTATTCTAGTTGTCCTCTATTAGAAATTTCCAGCTCGAGCCCCAGTCTCACCTCATTTAAAATCTAACATGAAAGTGCACAATTCTTGTTGCACTTTCCACTGTCAACTAAGTTTCAAACCACATTAATAACCCTTCAGCAAACTCTACTTGCCACCTTTGCAAGTCACCTCCCTCCCTTCTCCCTTTTTTAGTTGATCCTTGTTTTGACAGTTTGCATTCCAGTGCTGCAACCTTGAAAGTGTATAGTTTTGAAGCAACCAATTAAAATTTGATTTTTGGAATTCCTGTTGCAGATCATATACAAACAATCACGAGAAATTGAAAACTAAATAATGTTAGTTTGCAAAACCCTTTCATTGTTCTTGAATTTGGAGCAGGGTGTTTCTTATAAACCAAACTGTTAAGCATTTCCCATTTTGTTTCCTGCTTTGCTTCTCAAATAAATGATCTTTCTGGGTATAAAGATTTGAATCTAGTAAAGGGCATTCTGGTAACAAAGCAACCAGTGAACTGAATCTTCATGACTCGTCTTATACTGGGAACTGTTTTATTGCAGCGCTATTGTGGAGGATGGAACTGCAGAGGCACGAGTGTACTGCAAAGATAAACAGGTGGCAGACCTGCTGGCCCTTGGCTCCGTAAAGTGGGAAAGACTGCAGCAGCATATTGAACCACAGGGGGAGGTGTATTTTCAGTATCAGGGTCGCACTGGACATGAATTGGTGAGTGAAAGCCTTTTCCCCCTTTTTATACTAAATCCTAAATGTGGGACAAGCTTTTAAAACTTAGTTTTAGAGCAATGTTTAGTTCCTTCAAATACAGAATTTCTGTACTCTTTCATTGCACATTTTCAGAAATTATACATTATTACAGCAAATACTTATATTGATAAAGCACCTTTTCTCAAATGTTTCATGGTATGTTACACCGTTGAACCCAAGTGCTCATGTTGTTTTGGTTAATTTGGCGGCCATTTTATGCCCAAACATGCCCTTCAGCCCAAAATAACATGGACGATTTGCTAAGAGATAGTAGGAACTGCAGATGCTGGAGAATCTGAGATAACAAGGTGTAGAGCTGGATGAACACAGCAGGCCAAGCAGCATCAGAGGAGCAGGGAGGCGGAGGCTGATGTTTCAGGCCTAGGCCCTTCTTCAGAAAGGGGGGAGAGAAAGGGGGTTCTGAAATAAATAGGGAGAGAGGGGGAGGCGGATAGAAGATGGATAGAGGAGAAGATAGCTAGAGAGGAGACAGACAGCTCAAAGAGGCGGGGATGGAGCCAGTAAAGGTGAGTGTAGGTGGGGAGTTAGGGAGGAGATAGGTTAGTCCAGGGAGGACGGACAGGTCAAGGGGGCGGGACGAGGCCTGTAGGTAGGAGATGGGGTGGGGC